TGAATAAAGTAACAAAAACTATTAAACACAAAAAACCACAGTCATCACCAAGTTCGCTAAACCTATCATTCACCAATATTCGTGGTCTTCAAAGTAACTTTTCTTCTGTTAAGTCTTATCTTTTGCAAAGTTCACCAGACCTACTTGCTCTTTGTGAGACTAATTTGAGTTCAGCTGTTTCATCTTGTGATCTTAGTGTTGATGGTTATCTTCCTTTAAATCGTAAAGACTCCAATAGTCACATGCTTGGCCTGGGCATTTACATTCGTAAGAATTCACCCATTTGTCGGGAAACTAGGTTTGAATCCACAGACTACTCTTTTATGTGCTTTTGTTTAGCACCACTTCACTCTATCACCTTTCTCTTTGTTCTATATCGCTCTCCCTCATCTCAAGACTGCACTCTTTCCGTGATTTTCTTCGTGATGGCCCCTGGGTAGAAATCTTTCGTCTCCCTGTAGACAAATGTGCTTCTTACATAACTTCGTGGATTCAGGCTGGCATGGAATCCTTTATTCCCTCTCGACGATTCCAGGTCAAGCCTCACTCTTCCCCATGGTTTTCCTCATTGTGCTGCTGCAATTGCCAATCGAAACCATTATTTCCATATCTATCAGCAAAACAATTCTCCAGAAAACAGACGTCTGTTTATTACTGCTAGGAACCATTGTAAAAAGGTTTTGTCTAACGCCAAAGCTCGGTATCTCTTGATGCCACTAGTTGCGTTCTACCTGATATAGCCGTCAAACAGGTTGATCCATTGCTCGACATTCGTATCACTCCAGCTTCTGTATCTAAAGTGATTTCCCGCTTAGACTCTTCTACAGCTTGCGGCCCGGACAACATACCTGTTATAGTCTTGCAGAAGTGTTCTCCAGAGCTGTCGTCTATCCTTTCAAAACTAAGCAAGGTTTTTGAATCTTTAATTAACAAACACTTAATCTCGAATCTCATAACCTACTTTGGCCCTATACTCTTTTTAATTTACATTAACAATCTTCCAGATATTCTCACATCTAAGGTGGCATTGTTCGCGGATGATACTACCATTTATTCCTGTCACGATAAGAAGCCAACTCCCTCTGATTGCTTGCAGGAGGCATCTGAGCTTGAAAAGAATCTCACTTCTGCTACAGCATGGGGCTCACAGTGGCTGGTGAACTTTAATTCAGATAAAAATCAATTTTTTTCGGCCAATCGTTATTGCAATAATTTAGACCTTTCTATATTTATGAACGGTAATGTACTCGATGAGTCTCCTACCTTTCATCTTCTAGGATTAACTCTTACTTCTAATCTTTCTTGGAAACCTTATATCAAATCCGTTGCAAAATTAGCATCTGCTAAAGTTGCTTCTCTTTATCAAGCTTGTCACTTTCTTACTCTGGATTCTATTCTCTATCTCTATAAATCTCAAATCCGGCCTTGTATGGAATACTGTTGCCATATCTGGGGCGGATCTTCTAATGATGCCCTTTCTCTTTTAGACAAGGTGCAAAAACGCATTGTAAACATAGTTGGACCTGCTCTTGCAGCCAACCTTCAACCTCTGTCACATCGTCGTAATGTTGCTTCACTTTCTCTTTTCTAGAAATACTTTAATGGGCACTGCTCTAATGAGCTAGCGTCTCTTGTGCCATCTACTAAAATTCATTCTTGTGTTACTCGTCATTCAATTGTCTCATCCTTTTTCTGTTACTGTTCCTAAGTGTTCCAAAAACTCTTATTCGTCTAGTTTTTTTCCTTGAACATCAGTTCTTTGGAATTCACTTCCTTCATCTTGCTTTCCTGATTCATATAATTTGCAATCTTTTAAGTCGTCTGTCAATCGTTATCTTGCTCCACAATCTTCATCTTTTCTCTTCCAGTAACTTCAAACACTAATTAGTGGTTGCTTGCAGCCTTGTTGAAAGCGAAGATAGTTAAAAAAAAAATTAAAAAAAAAAAAATTATTTTATTAAAAATATAAATTAATTTTCTATGTGCCGTTTCTATTTTATTTTATTAATGAAAATAAACAAATGGTTTGTTTTGCCATTTTCATTTTTTTTTTAGAATTATAATACAACTTTGCCGTTTTTTTAAAATTATTTTGTTCAGAATTTAAATAAGTTGTTTGTTTTGCCGTTTTTACCTACATTATTTTACTTAGAATATAATTCATTTCAAAATAATTGTGATACTAATTTATTTTTAACTTTCTGTATTTAAATTGTTTTTGTATTAAGGCTCAGTATTAGGACCACTACTTTTTCTTTATGACCTTAATAACTTAATAACTTAAAATCCTTTTAAAAAATAAAAAAACACTTTAACCATATTCTTGCCAATCTAGTTCAGTAGCTTCATTCAAATAACTTTCTCTCAACTATAGCAAAACTGAACTGCTTATATTCAAATGCAATAAAGCAAAAATCAATAAAAACTGAAATTTTAGAATAATTGGATAAAAAGCCAATCTTGCAGGATTATATATATATATATATATATATATATATATATATATATATATATATATATATATATATATATATATATATATATATATATATATATATATATATATATATATATATATATATATATATATATATATATATATATATATATATATATATATATATATATATATATATATATATATATATATATATATATATATATATATATATATATATATATATATATATATATATATATATATATATATATATATATATATATATATATATATATATATATATATATATATATATATATATATATATATATATATATATATATATATATATATATATATATATATATATATATATATATATATATATATATATATATATATATATATATATATATATATATATATATATATATATATATATATATATATATACATATATATATATATATATATATATATATATATATATATATATATATATATATATATATATATATATATATATATATATATATATATATATATATATATATATATATATATATATATATATATGAAGCTACTGAAATAGATACTTGAATGAAGCTACTGAACTAGATTGGCAAGAATATGGTTAAAGTGTTTTTTTATTTTTTAAAAAGATTTTAAGTTATTAAGTTATTAAGGTCATAAAGAAAAAGTAGTGGTCCTAATACTGAGCCTTTAAAGACACCATAGGAACATTTTATTTGAATAGATTTTGAGTCATTGAAACCATATAATAGAAACTCCTCTGATTCCATATTGTTCTAATTTTTGGAGTAGGGTAGAGTGACCTACAGAAACCATCTGGGAATGAACCATTTTGAAATAAAATATTACTGATGTTTGAGTTAGCCAGTAAATTTGGGCGTTGAAGTTATGATTTTGTTTTGTAGTTTGTTTTTTATAGTAATAAAAAAGTTATTGAATATTTTCGATACATAATTTGAATCAATAATAATAAGAGTTATAATATTATCTTTCATTTTAAGTTTGAGATGATGATTTATGATTTAATATATGATAATGATTTATTTTTATCCCTTTGCAGGTATTTTTAATATTGTTAAATTTTTACTAAAAAAAGGTTATTTAATAAAATTTTACTATGTTTTAATACATTGCTTTGTACACCATGTGTACAAACTTACACATTTTATTTTGTTCATTTTTCACTATAAAACTTAAGCAAAACAATAATTAAAACACAATGTGTACATTTGTGCGCACCAGTCCTTTTTTATATTTTAATAAAATTAATATTTTAATAAAATTAATATTTTAATAAAATTTTTACATACCCCATAAAAAGGTCTAGTAAATTTGTTTTATCAAAAAAAAAATTTTTTTTAACACATTCTATGTGCCCATGTACGAAGGGGTTTAAAGAAAATTGATGGCTTGATTCACAATCATAATCTTTTTTATTAAAGAAATTCCAAGAAATGTTGGAAACATTTAAAAAATGCAATTTTATTTAAGTTCTTGAAGCATAGCCTAATTAAATTAGTATTTTAATTTAATGTTCAGTTCAGCACTAGGTCAGAAAGGCCAAATAACATATTCCTAGATAAAACCATCCCATCAGATGAGTCTGGCATAGTTAATAGGAGTGTCAAAAAAAATTAAAATTAAAATAAGATGGAATGTAGTAGAAAAAACTGGAAATTGAAATTGGATAAAATATAGTTTGTAAACATTAGTGTAAAATAACAAGTTTTGAAACATTAGAGATGAAAGTTCAATAGCTAATTAATAACTCAATATATAATGCATAATAATAACAATTAGGTATTAGTGGATAATCATAATAACAGAATAAACAAAGCAATAATAAAAAAATAATAAAATAAGTAATACAAAAACATGCACCAATATACCAATATACACAGAAGTAATAATAAGTGAATTTAAATTTGGTATACTTAATAATCTTATATGCTTGGTATACTTAATAATGTTATACTAATGATAATCCAAATCATTAAGTACTAAACATTTAATTACCACAAAAGTTAATAAGAAAAATTGGAACAGAGAAAAAAAAATCATCAACAACAACAACAACATCAAAAAAGAAAAAGAAAAAAAAAAGATCAACAAATTCTCTCAAATAACAAATACTCAAAGATAAAAACAAAAATATTTTCAGTTAACAAGTAAATACTATAAGATGGTTAAATCTAATGTAATAATAGATAATGTATGGTGCTGTAAGCAATGAGCTAAACAGTTGCTCAAGTTTTGCTCATCAACTCAAAGCTATAACAGAAGGCTTCTTATATGGTCTCAACATAATACTCTGATATTTTATAGCTGTTGATGGAGTCAGTTGCTTTGATAAACTACCACTAAGTTTATAAACTTTTTTACCAGTGGCCAGATCCACTAAATAAGGCAAACTCAACAAATCATTTATGATAATGTCATTGAAGTTATTTAAAATATTAAAAAAAAAATTATTATCACTGCAATATTGTTGAAATAGCAACAATAATGATTGAAACAATAGCAATAGCGTATTTCTTATTAAGTATTTTTTATTTAGAAAACATTAAAAAAAAAATATCAATGTTGAATGAAATTTTTGAATAAATCAAGTTGATGCAATAATTGTAGTGTGAAAATGGGGGAAATATTTGTGGTCAAAGAATTGAATTTTGTGTACTCCAGCTGTGATAAAAAAACCAAGAGTGAGGTAAAGTTATTTTTCACTTTCATTTTTATATTCTTGTTTATTCATATAAAAATTTAATGGAATATATGACTTTAATTAATTGTAACTTGTAAACGTTAGCAATGATTTGCAAAAGCTTTATTTTTAAAGTGATTTTTATCATATTTAATTTTAAGTTACTTTCATTCACAAGTTTTGTGCATTATGTATGTAGGGTTGCCAGATGTCTGGCTTTTACATTGGAGAATACAGTTGGACACTGTATAAAAGTAAATATTTTTACTGTATTCTCCTTCATAAAAGTGAAGTGGACTCTCTCTATAACTCTCTATATATGTAACAATTTTTTTTTATTTTTTTTTTGTATAGTTTCAAAAAATTTTTTTATCTCATTAAGAAAGTAGTTATAATTAACTGTTTATAAGGTTTATGAAAATTAGAAATATCTGAAATTTGGAACCTCACATTCTTTATAGTTCTTGAGATATTCAGGTTTCCATTTTTCTTTTGACTCAGCATTTTTTGCAAAATGCTTTTTGTTGTTGTTAAGTAGCAATATTTTATGAACAAAATGAGGCTTCATACTGAAATTTACTAAATAGACAATCCTTCGCATGGCTGATACAAATATCAAAAAAACATTTTTAGGCCCACCTTAAATATATGTAAATGAAATAATGTGAAGGCATAATTTGGGGGATATTTTGATGGTCAAAATTGTAATGTCAGCTTGATATATTTTTTTGAGGCATTATTACAATTTACAATATAGGTATCAAACATCACTATTAATGAAAAATGTATTATTGCATTTTTTGACTTTTCTAAGCACAACCTTTTAAGTAGTAGTTACATGCTGTAATATATTAAATGCTGAGCCAGCATAAAATATATTGCTAACTTATTTATGAAAAAATTAGCTATATCCTTATTTTATGCTATAAAAAGCTATTTTATGCTATTATTTTTAAAGTCTTTTTGAGAGTAATAATAAATTTATGTTATTTCTACCTGGGGAGGGCTCAAGGTCACGGGGAGGGGCATGGCTTAATTAGGCTTTTTACCGAACCTGCCCCTCTTTTTTTTACTTGTTAAACATAAAGACTAGTGAGTAGGATAATTTTTTTTATGTGATCAAATTGTGGTAGTTAAACATACTCATATACAGTTATATTTTAACTATATTTAAAAAAATGACATACAAAATCTTGATTATTTTGTTTAATAGTTTTTGCTAACTCAAACTTTCTGAAATTTTGTATACATGGCTGGACAATTTGTCCTATAAATAAAAGTTTGATGGACATGTCAGATAAAAATTAAAGAAATGTGATCAAACATTCCTGACCACGCATAAAATACTTTGTTTTTACAACTTGACCGCGCAATCTTTTTTATCAACTCTACGCGTTTCAAAATGCGCTGAAAATAAATAAAAAATTTGTAAGATAAGTTATCTAACAAAAAGAAAATCTTAAAAAAAGAAAAAGAAAAAACTAAGCTCAAAAAAATAAAATTTGAAAAAGAAAATATATTTATGTTATATATTTTAAAAATTACTCTATTAGGCGAAATGCTTTGTAAATTATTAAATACTTAAATTATTTTATGTAAATATATTAAATACATAAATTATGTAATTATTAAATACATAATTAAATATATAATATATATTTAATTATGTATTAATACATTTACATAGAAATTTATGTATTAAATAATTTTGTATTTTTATTATACATTTTTATTATAATAATAAAAATTATTTAATACATAAATTACTATGTAAACGAATTAAATACATAAATTATAAAGTTTACTTATTACTTTATTAAATAAAGTAGGGTAATTCCGTATCAAATCACTCAGAAATTTTTAAATGTCACCCTATATCTCAGATTTTACTGATTTTTAAACAGTTGAAAGTACTTAGTAAAATAAGAATTCCTTAAAAATATCAATTTAAATAAATTTAGGCAATTTTTATACTCTGATTTTGATGCTCAAGAAACCCATGTGGCCTTGATGATACCAGAAAAATATATATTACACATCATTCTATATTGATTGATCTTTCAAAAAATTTAAAGACTTTGATCTACAAGTATATAAATGTATATCCATATATGGATAAAGTGGCATGGTCCCTAATTTTTTTGAAGTGGAGTGTGGAGTATTGCAATTGATTTTTCACTACCTTCCAGACTAGCTGGAGCTCTGAAACTTTTGGCATTTCTGTAGTGCCGATGAATGTGCAAGGCCCAAGATACCAGGGGGGTCCTGAAAAACTTTGTTCCTCTCTATTTATTAAACAAAAATGACTAGTTTAAAGAAAAATAATTTTGCTTTATGTCAGAAGATAATGAGCATGGCGTTGGTTTTGTGTATAAAGTTCAGACACAGTTAGTTATTAAAAAGAAAATCATTGTAATATTTCAAAGATTTTTTATTTTTTAGATGGTTGTGCTGCATAGAATAAAAACCACAAAAACCTTTACAATATCTGTTTCCATAAAGATGATTTTGACATTGATGTAGAGTGGCCATTTTTTGCTACAAGTCATTGTAATGGGGATAGTAATGATGGCACTGTAAAATGATTAACTGCAAATACAAGTCTACAAAGGCCCATAAATGACCAGATATTAAATGGAAGGGATTATTTTTTTCAAAATTAAAAGAGAAAGACTGACAGAATTGTGTGCCACTTTGAAAAAATGTTTTCAGCTAAGTAGAATAATTCCTGGAACTAGGAGCTATAATCAATTTAACCTAGAATCTATAGATACTGTTAGCTTTAAACAAACAAGTGAAGATTTTAATATAACAGGGATGTTTGATGCACCTATATCAACAACTGGATGTATGTATAGTTTTATTGTTGATGCATCCAAGCAAATTTTAACACAATCTTGACACTTTTTTTTTTTAATTTATTTTGTAAATAATTAAATTAAAAGGAGCAAGTACAAACCAAAATTTTTTTATGGAAGACAACATTTTTAAAGTTGTTTTTTTATTGAAAATGCAAAAAAAAAAAAGTTTTTTAAGAAAATAAGTGGGGCATAGTCCCAGTGTCCCGGGCTATGGAGCCTCTAGTTGTCTGCCCTGGAAACAATTTTAACACACATTTATCAAGACTACAGTTTGCCTGAAAAGTTGTGAAAAATCTATCACAAGATTTAACTACAAAAAAGTGTAGCACTTACCCCAGTCCCCCTAATGTCTTATGCCCCTGAAAACAGTTTTAATATACACATACTTTGGCACTACACAAATGCCAAAACTTTCAGAGCTCCAGGTAGTCTTAAAGGTAGTGAAAAATCAATTGCAATATAGCTGAATATTGCAATTACACAAAAAAGTGTAAACTGTGCTCTGTTATCCAAATATGAAAATCCATATACTTACAGATCAAAATCTTTATATTTTTTGAAAGATCAATGAATATAGAATAATGCGTAACATTTTTCTTTTTGATATCATTAAAGCCACATGGGTTTCTTGAGCATTAAAAACAGGTATTGAAAAAATTGCTTAAATTTATTCAAATTGATAATTACAGGTACTTAATAATAATTTTTTACACTTCTGATCATTTCATTGGATTTGCCAGCCCCAAAAAAAGCCATTTACAAATTTTTAAGTAAAAAATTCAAATATTTTAAAAGTAATGTGACTTAAAACTGAGGGGACAAGAGGGGTCTGGCCAATGTCTGCTAAAAGTAAAAGGATCATATTTCAGGATCTTCTTGGAACCATAGGCTCAGGGATACGGAGTCCCAAAAAGGACTCCAGATTTGAAAGTCACAAAAAGATTACTTCTTTCTAGTTTTTGGTATCCAGGAGCTTAAAAAATATAAAAAAGCTAATGGTGAAAAAATCAAGATTTAGAGGTCAGAAGAATAATCAATTTTTAAACTTGGAGTTCTTAGGTATAATGGCGGCAAGGACTCCGGGACTCCAGGACTCTGGGCCTCCAGGACTCCGGGCTTAAAAACAAAAAGTTCCAAGTCATTAAATATCATAACTTTTTTCCTTATAGCAGATCATTAATCAACCAACATGTTTAGAGCTTTTAAAGTTATAAAGCCGGAGTCCTTTTGTTGTCTGTAAAGGGTAACCCATTTTGTTGTTGTCTGTAAAGGGTAACCTATGGTGTAACCATGTAACCATGAAACAGAAAATTTGGCTGACCATTTTAAAATTAAAAAATGACCATCATATTAAATTAGGTTGCTTTCTCTACATTTTTGAATTCAGTACCCTCAAAAATGGTAGGAGACCAGTGTTTATCATTATGATTAGTTAACTCTTTAGTTAAACTAAAATGTTAGTCAACTAATCATAATGTTTTTGAAATGATTTTTAGCAGAACTAAAAAGTGATTACTTATACTTATAGTCTTTTTAGTTAATTTATTACAGATTATAGTTTCGGTTACAACAAGGTTCGGAAAAAATCCTTTTTTTAAAAAAAACCCTGTTAAAAGTGGTTTTTCTGGACTTCTATATTAAGTTTGAATTTGTATTTTATGTAGAAAGCATTGTTACTGACAATGCAACTAATGTAGTTACATATGATTGCTCTGCGCATTTAATGAATTTGATAACATATCACCTAGAAATTGACAATGTTAAAGATCATATAGTAAATATTGTCAAATATTTCAGGAACCATTTTGCTTTGGCAGAATATAGAAAAACTGGTGGACTAAATTTTGTATTGCCTCAAGATACTCACTGGAATACCATGTGTGACTGTATAAAAGTGTAGTTTGCTAATTGGTCGACTCTGCTGAAAATATGTCTAATCTTGCCATAATTGACAACGGATAGTCTCTAACATTGTTATTAAATATCTGCAGAAAATCTACTTTCTCGCCTTGAACCTATTGCTTTTCCACTTGATAAAGCACAAAGTGACAAATGCAAAATAGCAAATGTAGTGGAAGTGTGGAAGAATCTATAAAACAAACTTTTGTGTAAAAGTAAAGTTGTCCAAAATAAATTAAAAACAAGATATGAAAAGGAAACGATCTTTTCACCCTCATTAGTGTATTAGAGAAGATCAGCCAATTATGGCTTTGCTGAATTTACATAATCTAATTATGCATTGGAATATGCAAATCTACAATACCCAGATATCATTCCTACAGTTATGAAATTCAGAGGAAATTTATACCCATCCCTGGAATTCCTAGATTCAGTGGTCAAAATTACATTGTGATAACATTGAAAATAAAACATTAAGTATAATTTTGAAATTGGTGACTGCGGCAGCTTCACCTGCAGAAGTTGAATGTTCTCCTCTTACGGTTTAGTACACTCAAAACTGAGAAATAGAATGGGTTTGGAAAAAGCAACTGAGCTTGTGTTTTTCATTAAGGCAATTAAACAGTTGAAAATTTGATGTTAATGATTAGTCATAATGTTGTACACAAGAGATTTCTTGCTTTTAGCTGATGTTTATATTAATTGATTAAATTTGTGCAGTGTAGCTTTACCTATAGTATTTTATTCTTATGAAATATTATCAGTCATTATTTCTATAAATACATAGTTCTGTTATATTTATTTTATTTTGCTTTTAAATATGACAAAAAAAGGTTTAAAATAATTTTTTTATTATTAAATTGAAACATAAAAGAAAAATTTGATTTAAATCATTAGTCATCCAAAAAAATCATTTGATTTAAAACCATGTTATTTAAATCAGTCAACACTATTAAAAGTTTAAATTAGGTGCTAACCTTTTTTTCAAGAATGAAATATTTTTTTTTAGTTTGATGATTACTTATGTAATTTGTGGGAAAAGGCAATGTCTGCAGGCTATTTTTGGTATAAACTAGATCATATACAGCAACGTTGTTTAGGTGGAACTTACAATATTTATGCACAGGTAAAAAATTATTTTTACATTATCATTTTCAAATTATGATATCATATAATTATAACAGACAGAAATGTTACAGTTATTAAAAACTGCCATTTCTACTTAGTAGGCTAAAGTAAAACTAATATTTTTGAAGTGTATTTGTATTGCTACCATTCCATTACATAGGTTTTTTAATTTTTTTTTAACTGCATCTAGAAAAATCTTTTATTGAAATTGAAATTTGATCTTTGTCAAACTTCAAGCAAAACCAAGAAGTAAAAGTAAAAGATGCATAGATAGTTTAAGTTAGCTTTAAATCTGACTTTATTTCAAAAGCATCAAAAATACGCAGAAATAGTTTGAATTTTTCTTTGCAAAAAAATTCAGGCAGTATTTTAATATCATGGAATGACATCTTTAAAAAGAAATATCACTTAAAACATTTTTTTAATTATTTCATTCAGTTGCTTATTTGTTTTTTGGGAATTCTTAATCAAATCCAATAAACAATATTTGTATTGTTAGGTGATGAGATTTTTTCTCCAAATGTAATAAGCAGGTGTTTCTTTAAAAAAGGGGCCTATCAAGTTCTCATAAATAAAGGGAGGGATGAACTCTCCTAATGTACAAACAGGATCTTTCAGAAAGAAATGAACAAGTTTCAAAACAGGTTTTATTATCAACTTTAAAAATAAACTATAAACACAAGCCATTTATTAAAAACAGATCCTCTAAAGCTTTCATGACGGAATCATTATTATTATGATGCTCAACCTCAGTTCTGATCTGGCGCCATTTTAAATAAAAAATTTTAATAAATAATTTCAATGGTTGTAATCAAAATTTTCTAAATCTAAACTTTTATACAGAACATGAAACAATTTCTAGTTAGTGTCTCTTAGTAATAAAGAACAGTTGTTTTATCGTAATTTCAATTAGATTTTATACAGAACATGAAACAATTTCTAGTTAGTGTCTCTTAGTAATAAAGAACAGTTGTTTTATCGTAATTTCAATTAGATTTTATACAGAACATGAAACAATTTCTAGTTAGTGTCTCTTAGTAATAAAGAACAGTTGTTTTATCGTAATTTCAATTAGATTTTATACAGAACATGAAACAATTTCTAGTTAGTGTCTCTTAGTAATAAAGAACAGTTGTTTTATCGTAATTTCAATTAGATTTTATACAGAACATGAAACAATTTCTAGTTAGTGTCTCTTAGTAATAAAGAACAGTTGTTTTATCGTAATTTCAATTAGATTTTATACAGAACATGAAACAATTTCTAGTTAGTGTCTCTTAGTAATAAAGAACAGTTGTTTTATCGTAATTTCAATTAGATTTTATACAGAACATGAAACAATTTCTAGTTAGTGTCTCTTAGTAATAAAGAACAGTTGTTTTATCGTAATTTCAATTAGATTTTATACAGAACATGAAACAATTTCTAGTTAGTGTCTCTTAGTAATAAAGAACAGTTGTTTTATCGTAATTTCAATTAGATTTTATACAGAACATGAAACAATTTCTAGTTAGTGTCTCTTAGTAATAAAGAACAGTTGTTTTATCGTAATTTCAATTAGATTTTATACAGAACATGAAACAATTTCTAGTTAGTGTCTCTTAGTAATAAAGAACAGTTGTTTTATCGTAATTTCAATTAGATTTTATACAGAACATGAAACAATTTCTAGTTAGTGTCTCTTAGTAATAAAGAACAGTTGTTTTATCGTAATTTCAATTAGATTTTATACAGAACATGAAACAATTTCTAGTTAGTGTCTCTTAGTAATAAAGAACAGTTGTTTTATCGTAATTTCAATTAGATTTTATACAGAACATGAAACAATTTCTAGTTAGTGTCTCTTAGTAATAAAGAACAGTTGTTTTATTGTAATTTCAATTAGATTTTATACAGAACATGGGGGCCATCCATAAAGGACGTCACCATTTTTTAGCCAATTTTTGCCCCCCCCTCCTTTGTCACCGGTTGTCCTTTTTCCCTATACCCCCCTTGAAAAGGACGTCATAAAATCCTGAACCCCCTCCCCCCTATTTTTAACTCCAAAAAAATTTATTTCATCTCGCAATGATGTTTGAATCTGCTGCTACACCTTTGAAAAATAAAATTAATAATATTCTCATACATTATCTTCTTAAAAACACATGTTTACGTAGTTTTCCATGTTAATTAAACTAAAATAAAAAATCTATAAAGTGACGTCCTTTTCTGACAACCTCCACCCCTCCCCTTGTCCTTTTTTGTCCTTTTTAACTCGACCCCCTCTCCCCCCCCCCCCCCTATTTGGATGACGTCCTTTATGGATGGCCCCATGAAGCAATTTCTAGTTAGTGTCTCTTAGTAATAAAGAACAGTTGTTTTATCGTAATTTCAATTAGATTTAATATGCTTGTATAATTTTTATACTATGATGAGGAAATTTTTAAGTACATAGTAGTTTAACTAAAAGCTCATTTTCTAACAAATTGAGATTTATGAGTTGTTTTTTTTTATATATAGGTTGATGATAAGACGGGTTTTTATATATAGGTTAATGATATGACGGGTCTTAATGCCTGATTGAATTGAAAGTTTTATTTTTTTTATCACTGACTATATATTTTCCAATTTTTAAGGTTTACACCGGATGTTTTTTTATTTTTGAGATTTAGTTTCTTTGTTGATAAAAAGTAAAAAAATTAATGGTGGGAGGGGGAGTCTTTATAAGCTTGGGGTGGATGGGAAAATTTTCCAAAATTTAATAAATGTTCTTTCTCATGTATTAAGCACCAAGTGTGTTAAAAGTTTTGAAAGAAATATTAAAATTAATTCATACAATTTTGGTTTATTTTTAAATTATAGTTTTCGTAAGGCTATTACAGAAAGTTTCTTTTTTCAAAAACTTTTCTAGTAATATCTTTAATAAAAAGCAAATAAAGTTAGGTGGAGGATAGGCAAATAAAGTTAGGTGGAGGACAGGTGTATAAAGTTAGGTGGTGGATAGGACTTTTTTTTTAATACAATAATAAGTACCAGAAGTATCAACAATGGAAACTTTAATGTACATCCCTATAAAACTTTAGGCTGTGGGAAGCATTCCATTATATATCAGTGCATCTATGAATGGAGTGCTTAATTGTATTCCAAAAAATATTGATTTCCAAAAAGCGTTTGACTCTGTCTCGCATACCAAACTATTAGTAAAATGCATCCTATAACATAAAAGATAATCTTTTAAATTGGATTTCCGCTTTTCTCACCGATAGATATCAACAAGTCAAGGTCGGTAATTCTCAAACGGTAAATGTCAAACTCTATACGCATTGTTAGCAGAGTTCCACAGGATAGTGTGCTGGTCCCACATTGTTTTTATTATATGTTAATGATTTAATCGTTATATCTAATAATCTGGACTGTTGTGTAAAACTTTACGCGGATGATATAAAGTTATATAGTTCGTACTGTGATATGGATCTAAGCCAAGATTTGTTGTTGTTGTTTTAAATAGACTTGTACAATGGGCAGAAACTTGGCAACTAACAATTGCTTGTAGTGTTTTGCACTTAGAATAGCACCTCCCTCATTATGCAAACGTATAAAGGTTAACTATAAATTAGGTGAATATTCTTTGGTTTGGTCTTCAAACCCAAAAGATCTAGGAGTAACAATGGACTGTAAACTTAATTATAAAAAACATATTTTTAACATCATCCATCAAGCTAACTCTAGAACATACTTAATTTTGAAATTGATCATAGACTCATACTTAATTTTGAGATTGATCAATCTATGTTCTTTGCGATTGACAATAATAGCCACATCCGGGGTCATAGTTATAAAATAAGCAAACAATCTTGTCGCTTGGATTTAAGAAAATATTGCTTTTCTTACCGAGTTGTTGATATGTGGAACAATATGACCTCAGAGGCTGTAAATGCAATTAACATTTTAACATTCAAAAATAAAATTAAATCTTTCGACTTTAACAAATATCTATTGTAAAAGAAACAACTATTTGTTTCTTTATAGTTTTGTTAATTTTTTTTTGTAGCAATATTTTTAAATTTCTTTGGGCACGTTGTTAGTGTCCATCTTTGTATGTGCCTTCGTGTCCTTTAGAAAATGTATTTATACTTTGTTCTAATAAATATTAATCAATCAATCAATTGCACTGATATATAACCATGTATGCATTGTCAATGAGTTTAAAAAATTACATTATGTCAAAAGAATTATTCTTTATTTGTTTATTTAAAACAAAATAAATTTAAACAAATTAAATTTTTTTTTTTTAGATTTTTTATCATTTTCTTTATTTTTTCATATATCAAATTAATTGATATTATTATTCTTTTTCTTATTTTTACTAATAGTTTTTCTATTGTTATTATTACCATAGCTCAAACTTTTCCTATAAATAATAATAATAATATTATTGTTGTTGTTGTTGTTTTAAACATGATGTTGTTATTATTATTAACATTAAATTTTTATTTATTTTCTATTATTATTATTATTATTATTATTTTATTATTGGCTGGTGTCTCCTTTGATTAGGTTTCTATGTGACACCTTCCTTCTCAATGTATTATTTCTACCTATTCTTAATAATTATATTTCAATATGATTTTTATTTTTTTATTTCTATTCACCTCCCCAAGGTGCTATGAAGTACAGTCAAGGAGGCTATTTTTATTTTTTTCTATTTAAATTTTCTTTTATTTCCTATTATGTTAGTTTTGCTTTTTTTGTTTTTGAAACTTAGTTTTTTCCTGCAATGATTAAAATAATAAAACTTGGAAATGGTCGTGACCAAGTTGTCTAAAATAAAATACTCCCATTTGGTCATACAAGATAAAAAACTGCATGGGTTTCCTGGAAAGGCTTGTTGTAGGACTTTTTTTTTTTTAGAAAAATCAAAAAAAAAAAAAGTTTTTTTAAATCACTATCATGAAAAACAACCATTTGTTTTTGTTTCATTTTTTTTTTTTTTTTTTTTTAATTATTTACCTCCCCAAG